AATTGGCACTATGACCTCAACGAAATGGACTTGAACTTTAGGTCACTTCTGATTGTCGATGATTGACCCTTTGGTACTTCTGATTGGCTCTCCTCATCAATTTACTCCATGATTCCGAATTAGAAACGGTAGATATTCGGTGGCAGACATAATTACTAGCTGAAATAAATGATTGATAAAGATCTGGATAACTGAAATATTTAAAGGGTCAATGGAAGACGTGAGAACCAGGATAGGAATTGATGTAGTTTCAGATTACCACCAACTGGCGGTTGTCTAAGTGAGACCAGAACTAAAAAAAGTACTGGAAAACTGGGGAAACAGTATTACAAAGGCCCAATACAGCCTTCCTTTGAGATACTGACAAACTCAATGAACTCAAAACAGCTCTCAGTAACAGGTTCCAAGGATTACAAGATCTGCTCAAAGAGGAAGAAACTACTATGGAGAACAAGTGAAAAGGGATCAAAGAAGCGTTAACTTCAACGTGTCAAAAGGTTCTGAGCCACAGTGACCATCATAATAGGAGATGAATCTTCATGAAAACCCTGTTTTTGATTCAAGAAAAGAACAAGAAGACAGCAATGAAAAACATTTGAACAAGAGTAGAGATAGTCAAAACACAAACTGAATACACAGAAGCAAACAGGAGAGTGGACAGAAGCATTAACGTTGACAAGCAGAAATAAGTAAGAGATCTAGCAATGACAGCGGAAAAAGCTGTAAGAGAAGGAAATATGAGACAAATATATGACACAACGAAGAAACTGGCAGGGAAATATAGTAAACCAGAGATACCAGTTAAGGACAAAGAATGCAAGACGACCTCTGAAATCTAAGAACGGAGGAACAGATAAGTTTATCACTTTGAAGAAGTCCTGAATAGACCGGTCCTACTGAACCCATCAGACATCGAAGCAGCACACACAGACCTTCCAATAGATGTCACCGCATCAACGTTCAAAGAAATCAGGATGGTTATCAGGCAAATCAAGTTTCGGAGAGCAGCAGGATCGACACCAACAGCAACCGCAGACATGCTCCACGTTCTATTCAGGAAGATTTGGGGGAGGGTAAAGTGCCGACAGACTAAAGAGAAGTACACCTCATCAAGATACCAAAGAAAGATCTGAGCAAATATGAGAACTACAGAGGCATCACACTACTATCGGTACCAGGAAGCGTTTCCAACGGTGATGTTGAACCGCATGAAGGATTCAGTAGACGCCCGGCTTCGAGATCAATAGCTTGAATTCCGTAAGGATCGTTCGAGCACAGACCAAATCACGACACCACGGATCATTGTTGAACAACCAGTTTAGTAGTATTTGTCCCTACACATCAGTTTTCCTGATTATTAGTAGGTAGTTCACAGTGTCGACAAGTGTACCTTATGGAAGCTTCTTCAAAGATATGATTTACCTGAGAGGATCGTCACCACCATACAGAATTGCGAAGAAGGACTACACTGCAAATTAGCGAGTGGAGGACAACTAACAGATGAATTCGATGTGAAGACCAGTGTCAGACACTGCTGTTCACTCTCTCTCTTTCTCCTTCTTCTGGTAGTCGACTGGATTATGAAGACTTCCACATCTACAGGGAAACACGAAATACAGTGGAGAACTTGGGAGCGGCTAATAAATTAGAACTTTGTAGATCCCCTAGCACTTTTATCCCATTTACACCAATAAATGCAGGTGAAGACAGCCAATGTAGCAACATCCTATGCATCAGTAGGCCTCCACATGTGCGAGAAGAAAACCAAAGTCTTCAGGCGTAAACAAAAAATGTGATCACTAAGTCGAAGGTCTCATAAAAGTCTAAAAGTCTATGTAACCACATACGTCACTGAATATCAGAGTATTTCATTCAAGCAATGGGTTTCTGCTGCACGATATACGTGCTAGAGACTTATATTAGGATCTAAACGAGACAGGATCTATTTTCAAATAATGTCGAGATGAACTGTCTGTAACCAATAAAATACACCCATTTGGTGACAGTGTTTGTCAGGAAATCGCGAGCCGTGATTCAATAATGAACGAATAGTGACATACGAGCATGGTTTTTATTTTTCTCTAACCTTATTCACTATCGTTCCGTATTTTTTGTCAGGTAGAAACGTGTCCTTGATCTGTCTTGCATTTTACATTTGAGAGATAAGTCACATAACTTATTACTTGATGTCAATGTTGACCCATCGAATATGTCTGTGGAAGTAAATAAATCCCCGAAATTAAAAATTATGTAAGTCTTCGAAACTGATGCTAACCGCATTAGTTTTACTGAATATGTCTTTGATGAAAGCGTTCGTCCACGCATCCGCACCAGATCACGAGTGGATATGGCGTGCTACTCCTCCCTTGTAACTACTAGCCAGTCTAGAACAAACGCTTCTCGACATATCAATAACTTTCCAAATACATTTTCAAACCTCTTCATTTCTGACTTCTGATTTAACTGGGTTTGTATACTTTGTTTACAAAGATGTTGCATTTGAAGGTGCTGTCAAACTCCGAATACCTGTGGCATCTTTAAGCTTAACCGAACACAATGATTTATTGCAAAATCCTTTAAAGATGTTGCTAGTAATCAGTCTGTGACAACCCCGCTGTCCTTAACACCCTTAGGAAAGAGGATTCAAACGCATGTCAAACCAGAAAATTGGAATGATTGGGTCCGAAGATATATTTGTGAGGCAACCAATGTTTCTACAAGTAAGTGCTCTAAGTTGGCTCGTCGTTACGAGCAATGCTAATCCCGTATACCTTATTCTAACTTTCAGATAGGCCAATCTTTTCATTCTTCTTGAGTTATATTTTGACCTTATTAATTATTCGCTTATCAAACTTAACTGTTTTTTATATGAGTACGTTATATGTGTACGCTTTTTATTCTTTTCATCACGTATCTGTAACTTAGTTCATTGTGATTATAAATATTGATTACCGCTTGTCTAAAGCGGAGTTGGGTTATCCTCCATCTCCACTGTGCGTCATTTTGCTTCGCTCAATTCCATTTGCTTCATATGCAAAATATGTGTATTCAAAAGTCCATCACACTTATTTAAGTCCGTTATTGACCAACGCGATTTAAGCCGATGATTATACACGAGGATAGGCGACATACATATTCCAATACCAATCACTCATACGACCAAACTGGAGTCAGATCTCGGGACACTAAAATGTAACGCAACATACCCAGTCGTGATCTGGCGCGTACAGTCGACCTGATGTTTTTGCCTAGAGTATGTCCAGCAAAACTGGTGAAGTCCGATTCAAAGTCGAAGACTTGCAGAACTATTCATTTTTGTGATTTATTTACCACCACACCGCGTTACTTTTATGTTCGTAGATTTTGAAGCTTTATGGGATCAAACAACTCATTCAAATGGCTCAAATAGTTCGAATAATTTTGAACAGAATATAAGAAGCTCTCATTTAACGGGCCTTCGTGTCTAGTAGTAGTGGATCACTGATACCTCCAATCAGGAAGCTAGGTATATTATCGATAAACAAGGACAAAGAAATTGGTGATGAGAGGCTTTAGTACTGAACCCTGAGGGACCTCACTAGGACATTCCACAGCCTGAGAGTAAGTGAATTTAACCCTGACCTTAAAATGTCTGTTTTTTCAGATATGAAGTGAGCCAGTCAATTAAAGGTGATTAGATACATAATCGTTTGAGCTTATTTATAAGACATGTATGTTTGACCCTACTAAAAGCCTTTGAGAAGTTGAGGTATTTTACATCAACCTTCCCCTTGCTATCAAGGATGACTGTCCATCTGTCCAGAGTGGTCAGTAGGTTGATTATATAACAGTGACCTTTTCTGAAACCGTGCTGTTGGAGTGAAAAGAAGTTTACAGGTAATAAGTAGTCACGTAGAACGTCGCACATCAGTGACTCCATAATTTTTGAGGATACTGAGAGAAGTGCTGCCGACATGTAGCTAGAAGGTTCGCTGCGTCGACCTCCTTTGAAAATAAGTGTAATGAGACCTGGCTTCCAGTTTTCTTGTAACGTGCCTCGGCCTAGCGAATGTCAGAACGTCACGCTAAGCGGTGTTGCCGATTCTGAAGCTGCCTCATTCAGTATAACAGAATGGATCACATCCGGATCAGGTGTCGTTTTTAGGTGCTGCAGTTTCCGGTACACTAAATCCTGTGGAGTTTCAGATGAAACTTTCGCCAATAGAGTTAGTGAGGGTCGGTTCGAATGTCCGGGAGTACTGTCCAGTCAGGAGATTAGCGGCATCACCTTCACTGTTGGTTGGGCCTTCAGGACTTAGCAGTTGCGAAACTCCAGTTTTGGCTTGTCGAAGAGAGGCTTCATAACGGAACAAGCCTCTTAGATTGGAAAAAAATTTATCGATAAGCTTCATTCGGTACTGAAGCCTTCTTCCTTCTATTGCCTTTTTGCATATGTTCCTTATTTGTTTGTATTGCCTGTATGTGTCAGTTCGTTTGTATTCCGCCTAGTAGTGCCTTTTCCGGCTTAGCAAACGAAGAGTGCAGATCTTGGTGACTGTAGGTTGCTTGTAGATTTTGGGTACCATCTGAAGAACAGACTGCCTCCTAGCACACAAAACCGTGTGCAGTAAAAAATCTCAATAAGCGTTCAGATCAAGTTGAGGGCGAACTTCCCGATTCACCTGCTGTAGATTATCCCGTTAAGCTGACACATCCAACTGTTCGAAATTCCAGCGCCTGTTGTTGGTGTATTGTCTTAGCTCAGTTTCTCCGATAAAACTGAAGGCTGTGGCGGCGTGGTCGCTTTCATCTAGGAAAGCGAGGATTGAGAGGCTGTCAACCAGGAATTCTTCGTTTGTAAGTACCCAGTCTAAGCGCAACGGCGTAACTATTACTTGCAAAATTATTATGCTATCAATACAATTTATGCTTTGACGCTTGCAGTTTGCAAACGGACCTTGAAAAACAATTAACTATCAGTTTCCCTCTATCAAATTCGAAGCTCAAAACCAAAATAATGGACATTGAAAGCGGTTAGGTTGAATGACCCCGGTTTGGCCTTGAAGCGGATGTCGGAAAGGCATAAATTTTATCTTTGATAATAGCTTCTGCTTCATCTTTTACATGCCGGGATGGATGAGCTCTCTATGTATTTTTCAGCCGGTAATGAAACATCGAAGTCCAAGTTGAATGAAAAGTCAGCAAAATCATTCACAAGGCCAACTAATTTTCGTAATGACGCACAACAACGCAAAAGCTTCAGAGGTTGTATCAAGAAGAATAAAACTATAGATAACGGCTCAGATAATGCTAACAACCCGTTCCTTAGCCTAAACTCTACTCCCAATAATCCCATGTGTGGTAGCTACAGCTGTGGAAATATCTCTACAAAAATGCCACATATTCTTCCTCCCGAAATAGAAGAGGGAAATATTGAGTACAAAGTAAGCAACCTATTTTTATTTGTTGTCCTGTCAACATATTCAGTATGTAAGGAAGTGGTATATGATTAACCGTTCCCGTGTATATGATACCATTAGGCCTCCAAGTGGTTTTAGACAGTATTGTATAAGTGATAAGCCTGAACTATAGTGTCGAAAATTTTGCAGGTGTTAACTGTTTTGGCCAAAGAAAAGGGATTGATAATTGGATGCCTTGTTATGTCATGGGTCAGTATTCGGATGTTTTTAGGATTTCTGAATTGTAAGCAATGTTAGTTCATGACTACAAAACCCAAACCCTACCACACAATCCTAACTCCTGGCACTGATTTTCAATCCGGTTTTGATGTTTACACCCTAACTTCTCTCAGTCTTTATTGATTCATCAGTATAACTTGACTGAATAAGCTTTGGCTTGACAAGTTCCGCGTCTACTAGCTGTAAATCACTGATGTCTGTAAGTGTGGAATTACGTATATAAAGAAAAAAACAAAATTGGATACGAATCGACCTGCTGCTCTGAAATTTCAGCGTTGGAACATTTCTTTCAAAGTTGGTATGCAAAAATAATATGTTTGAACTATTTCCTAATAAAGGAACCTGAAATGAAGAATTACCCAGGCTGTATACGAGATTTGCATCGTTTTGCGGATGAACTAGTCCCGCTTTTCAAAGCGTCGGTCTACATGCTTACGTTGGAATTTACAGCCTCGATAAGTGTTGACTTTGAAGGGTTTTTCGACTTGTTTTTGCTAAATGAAAACAATGGGAATAGACTGACTTTCCAAGCATTTCGTTTGAGGCTCCTAGCAAATATTATTTGTTTACACAATGGATCAATAGTTATTTCACGTCATTTGACCACATTGGTCGACTGAGTCCTTGACTAGTCCTTCCTCAGATACATACTTGACATTTCTGTCTTCAACCTGCACGCGAAGTATTTCTATTGCGATTTCCGTATGTCCAGTAAGACGGATAGACGTGTCCTTATGAGGTGAGAGCTAACCACTGATCCGTTTGAGTGATGACTAACAGTGGGTTTTTAGCATTTATCACATCTCTACTGATCTATTTTTGTCTAGCCATTAAATATCATAATCTGATCAAGTACTTTGTGACCATGTAACTCTGTGTCTGTATTTTATTATTATTTATTTAAACGCATAAATATTGGTACAAGAGGGCACCAAATATGTATGCGCCACACCATATTTGTGTGTGGGGGCTGTGATACTGCCCGGGTGCCCAGACCGAAGCAGGTGTTTTTCTTAGGGGGCCACACCCCGAGCCTCTGACCTAAAGGTCCGATCCACAGGGCAGTGGAGCATCGTAAGTAGATGCAGTCCCATGGTATCTGGTGACCAACAATTGGTTTATACGCCATTTGTTCTCTCAGGATACTGGAGCCCATGTGCACCATTGGTTTGGGATCCGGTTAAAGCGCCGGAAATTCGCTTTTCGTCCTCTGATTTTCGTAAACAACACCCCCACCACGAGGTAGTGAGTATGGCTTCCCCGGCAGAGGCTGTATACGCGTGGCCGTGTGAGAGCATTTCGAGAGGGAGGGAGGGCCCACCCCACTCTCGGCCATACCAGGGCATTTGGGGCATATGACCCTTAGACATTGCGAGTAAAAAATTAATCATAAATTAACTCATTCACCAGGTACTTGAGTGTGAACGACATTCCATGTGTCAGGGTTAACGATACTACTTAGTTACCTGAATCGAGATAGTTGGAGCGGTGTTCGAATCTCGGATTTACTGGCTTCAAGTTGAACCGCCTAACCATAAGACCACCACTGCATCTTTTATAGTCTCTCTGCATAAGAAAATTTCTAAAGTATTCGTTTCCAAAATACTTTTGTATTCGACGTATCTCCTGTCACCACCAACGAGATCATTCGGAAGAAAATATGCGGGTTTAACGAGGTTCTGTATTTTTTCACTCATCCTTATTCACTGGAATAAATTAATAGATAAAAAAAGCTTACCTCTGTTCATCATTAGGTCAGTGTGACATGTCACTATATATGCTTAAAGCAAACGTTTTCTCGAAATAAATTTTTGTATGTACATATTTGCTGCAGTCAGTCATCGTTACCTGTCCGTTAAGCTGGGGCACCAAAACCTCTGTCGATCTGACTTACCCTATCTACATTAAACCTACTCACTGTAGTAGCTATAAATGACAAACAGTTCTATTCCAGGAGGCTAAAAGAAGTATAAAAATCTAAATGTTTGATAGTCGTGTTTATGCTAATAAGGTACGACTCCACTAATCTGCAATTAAGTGAAAGTCATTTGTAGTCAGTTATTTAAATCATAAATACTTTTTTAAACCCTTCTATCTCTGTTTTCGCTAACTTTTCCTTACACCGATTTTAACCAATTCCTTTTTTACGTAGCGGAAATTAGTTGATCCTACACCAAATCGTTTTGAACAGCTTGTTACTCAAATGAAATGGCGTCTTAATGAAGGTGGAGGCAAAGCCATTTATAAATTAGGTGTAGATGACGATGGTCATGTCAGTGGACTTCGTCCATCTGAATTAATCAGTTCGTTAACAACACTTGAACGAATGGCAAAGCGTCTAAACTCCACTCTTCATCCTCTCAGAGAGCGTGTTATTGAACCGACAACTATTTCTTCGGATAAAGAATGTCGTAAAGCTATTGAAGTGCTTGTTCGTCTAGCGCCAACAACCAATGAAGGTGTAAGTCGAATGTTATATTCAGTACTATTGTATCAATTTTTTCCTGTAATGTAACTCACCGAGTACATATCCGTGTACTCGGCTTTGGACTACATTAGGCGTGTGAGCTAATATAATCCTAACTGGTTGCCTGAACCAAAGTAGGTAGGACAGCATTCAAACCTTTGACTAATGGTCAAAAATAGAGCGCTATAGCTACCAGGCCATCTGTTATTATTTTTTTGCAAAGTCTAATAAATCTATACTAACTCTAATCTGAAAATAATTATCGCCACAAATTGATATCAACTGAAGCAAATCAGAGTATTAGACAGCGCCTGCACTCTGAAACATTTTATTTTTCCACTATTTATGGTGTTTTTTTTATCAATCTCATATTTTATTTCCACTGTTATCCCTCTGTTACTGTTGATGTAATTATATTTACTGTCCTCTTTTTGCTCAATACATCAATTTCTAGATTACCTATTTGGGGTAATACTCATTTTTACAAACCTATCATAGCTTATTTCTTTAAAATGAGAACTAAGAGACTGTTCTTCTTAGTAAGTTCAATAAAAGGCGTCTATAGTTCCACGTTCAAGCTACCACACTTCGTAACAGCATCAGGACAAAATTATCAAGGTAAACAACCGAGAAAATATTGATTGAAATAGAAAATGACATACGTCAACTCTAGTTCAAAAGGAATAAGCAGGAATGGAAATTATGGGATGATTTCAAGCTTAAGATTTATAGAAGAATTAGTGGTGAATGCAGCTGCTACTCCGTAATCTACCCTCCCTTTATCAACCATAAATTATAGTTACCTTACGGTCCCCATCTTGGGAGTCTATATCTTCCAATATGGTTCAGCTCAACGGTCTGTAGTTTCATGTAATAATTCCATGCCTTAGTTTGCTTGTCTCTAGCTTTATCCTAACCAACAGTACACGTTCTAGTAGGTGATAAATAAACTGCCTGGTTGAAAGAAATAACACAAACCAACATCTTTGATCCTCTTCCTCATCTACGGCAATTTGAACTAGTTTAAACTATCTGCCGTTTTACACCTCAAATTCTTCATTATTCTTATCTGGCGTGGTAGTTAAAGCAATTAACTTTTAATCAACAGGTCTCAGGTTCAAATCCTATTCCTTGTACGTTAGTTCACTCTGCTAGGAGGGGACTTTTTTTACGGTCTGCCACAAAATCAAGTACATAGACTTGTTACTTGGTAAAGAGATTGCATTATTGTGTATGATTATCACACTAAATGTTTCTGTAAATTTGCTTATGTAACTAGTGAATATCGTTTACTTCCCTATTATTTAAATATTAATAACAATAATAATCATTAAACATATGATTTGTGTGATATGGTGTAACAGCTGATAAAACTACTAATCCAATTGATAATGATTAACATATAAATTAATTTATGAAAATATTAGGGGAATAGTAGAATGATTATTCTTTCTCTATTTGTGTTAGAAATTATTATTTTAGATCCTGGTAATTGTTTCTGTAATAATAATAATAAACAGTCAAATGACAACCGGCCATGATCGCAACGTGATTTAACTTACCTGTTACTTTAATCCATTCTATCTAAAGTCTTTATTCCCTAAGATTATATTATTATCGAAAGATTTATTGATTACGGAATATCACTAACTTCAATTCAGATCCATTCATTCTTTGTCTTTCCTGAACTTAGAAAGTATTTTAAATCTTATATTCTATGAATTTTTTTTATCCATCGTGATGTATTTTTTTGTCTGTCTAATGTTTTTTAACCATTGTTGATATTACTAATACTAATACCGTATTTATTTTGATATTTTCATCTCGTGTTGATATGGTGTGCCAACTTGAACTTATGCACGTATATGCTAGGTTCTACGTTGTGTGTTGACTGACTGGTTTCTGAAAGATGTTTCACTAACGGCTAATGGTGATCTAATGAACATAATGTGTTTTCCCTAACCACTCTATTTCCTTACTGATTTTTTTGGTGGGGCTATAATTTACGGAAAACTTTTGAGCAACGCTAAAATAACCTTGGATATGTCCACCCACTAACTAGGAGTAAATGATGGTTATAAAGCAGTGTGAGGAATTGTAATTATGATTTACAGTTGATAGATAGGATTAGGAATTAGATTTAGGGTTTTCATCACGAACTGACATCAGCTATAACGCCGAAATAGTATTTAGCCAAATAAGTATGAAGTTTGTGCCAAAATCCGAGACCTTTTATCTTAAATCTGATTGATTCGTCCAAAAATTATAGTCTCGCCATTTTTTTCTTCTGATTGTCGTAACATTATGATGTCTCGGTAGTATTAGCAATGTGTTCTTCAGTACAAATCTAACTATTAAGAAGATACAACCAGCCTCAATTAATTATTGGCCCAACCATCAGACTCATACTAAGTAATACTACTATTTTTCAGGTACATGAAGAAAGTGTTAATTTTCATGTTATCTGTATCTTACCAATCCCTATCTCCTGTATCATATCAATTTCTCTTAATCATGATGAGTATTCGTGATGTATACGAATACTTTTTTGTTGTATGATGTTAGTTGTATGTTCCAATTACTACCTGTACTTTTACTACCCCCTAAATCGACAAATGTATCTGTGTGCCAACGTGGCATGACAACTTGAACTGATGTACGTACGTACGAAGTTCTACGTTGTTGCTGACTGACTGACTACAGGCATAGATCCTTGAGCGACTGATATTATGATCTGAAATATTATTATTGCTTAACCTTCATTAATTACCTGCCGGAGATAACCGTCCCACACTCGACATGGTTAAACTGCACTGGTCACGACTTATCACTAGAACTCCAGAAATGGCATCAGTTCGTGAATTAAACTGCAAAAACTCTACAATTTCCCCAAATTCCCTCAATTCTAATAATTTTTAAATGGTCAAAATCTTTTAATGAGTGAAAAATAGATTCATCATTTGTGGTTTAAACTCATTAACTACCTTTGTTGCAAATTGATGGATTCAATGGAGTTTTACGTAACCCATTTACAAAGTACTAGGATTTGTGTCACATTTGTTTTTATGTGATTATGTTTGGAATTCAACTATACCGATAATTGTAGTACCAAGTCCACTTTTAGAAATAACACTTTCCTCGTCTAGATTTCCAGGGGTTGAACTTCTACCGGCAGGTTCACTTGTTGACTTGGAATATGTCGATGACATAGTTCTATTTGGTGAAAACGCTGACAAAATGCAGAGTCTTCTGACCACTCTAGGCAACAATGCAAGCATGTTCGGGATGCGATTCTCCCCCTCGAAATGCAAAATGTTGCTTCAGAATTGGGTTGCATTAACACTCGAACTAATGATAGGGAGTGAAGTAATTGAGCGTGTCGATCGCTTCACTTATCTTGGAAGTCTCATCAGCCCTTGTGGTCTGGTGCGTGACGAAATCTCAGCACGGATACAGAAGGCTCGACTAGCTTTTACCAACTTGCGTCATTTATGGCGTAGGTGAGACATCCGTCTATCAACCAAAGAACGTGTTTAATGCGCAGCAGTTCGCTCCGTCCTACTTTATGGCAGTGAAACATGGCCGGTAAGAGTAGAGGATATCCGTGGTTTACTAGTATTTGATCATAGATGTCTTCGAACCACTGCTCGTATATCCTGGGACCATCGAGTAATTAATGCAGTTGTTAGAAAACGGGTACTAGGTAAGGATAGCAAATCAATTGATGAAGTAGTGAAACTTCATCAGTTGAGATGGCTGGGACATTTGTTACGTATGCACAACCCAACCACCAACTGCCCCGACGTGCTGTCTTATGGTGTAGAATAGTGTAGGTTGAAAGAAAGCTAAAGGCGGTCAGACCAAAACATGGCACAAATCCATGAGGTCACTGACAAATGGACTGAGCCATGTTGGTAGGTGTAAACTACCTGGTTGGGGATCGCGAGATGATAGCAACCGATGGTTAGAGACCCTGAATGACATGGCTCAAAATCGTTTGCAATGGCCCAGGTGCATCCACTCTTTGTGTTCTCCCAAATTCTAATCTTCTGACTTCTTCATGTCCCTTTCTTTTTTCTCTTTCTAAATTTATTTCACTGGATTATACTCCTTGAATAACATCTTCAAACCCTAATTTTTCTGATTACAGCTTATAATTTTACTACATCAAGCACTACGGGATTTGAATCGACTACTGAATCTCTGTGCTAATGTGGTGTGGCAACTCGAACTGATGTACGTACGTACGAAGTTCTACGTTGTTACTGACTGACTGACTTGTTAGTAATATTTAATTATATTGTCGGTTCTGATCTTCACACCGACTCGAACCCAGTACATATTTCTTCAAACACTAATGCGTTATTAACATCCTAAAAGCCCTGTATTAAAACACCTCAGGCAGAGTGAGGGCATACAACCACCTCTCTCGATTGTTCCATTCGAGCAGTGGGGTTAGGCAGGGTTGCCCAATCTCACCATTCCTCTTCAACTTTGCCATCGATGACATTCTGGAAACAGCTCTGATGAATGTAAGTAATGGTGGTGTGGATCTGTTGCCTGGAGAAAGACTTCTCGACCTTGAGTATGCGGACGATATTGTCTTACTGTGCGATAATGCCCAAGGCATGCAATCCGCACTTAATCAGTTGGCAATCAATGTCCGTAGGTATGGTATGTGCTTTGCACCTTCGAAGTGCAAAGTACTTCTACAAGACTGGCAGGATTCTAATCCTGTACTCACCCTGGACGGTGAGCAGATAGACGTCGTTGAGAAGTTCGTGTATCTGGGTAGCTGCATAAGTGCTGGTGGGGGTGTGAGTGATGAGATCAATGCACGAATAGTGAAAGCCAGAGCGGCTTATGCCAATCTGGGCCACCTTTGGCGCCTTCGTGATGTTAGTTTGGCTGTAAAAGGCCGGATCTACAACGCGTCGGTGAGAGCAGTTTTGCTCTATGCTTGTGAAACCTGGCCTCTCCGAGTTGAGGACGTTAGACGACTCTCTGTGTTCGATCATCGCTGTCTCCGAAGGATTGCTGACATTCAGTGGCAACACCATGTCAGTAATGCAGAGGTTCGGCATCGTGTGTTCGGGCACAGAGATGATAACTCAATTGGTGTCACCATTTTGAAACACCGACTTCGGTGGCTTGGACATGTTCTCCGAATGTCGCCCCAGAGAATTCCACGTCGTGCATTATTTGCCGACTCTGGGACTGGTTGGAAGAAGCGGAGAGGTGGTCAGTGCATGACATGGTGTCGTGGCATGAAAGAAAGCTGCAAAGGACTGGCTTGTGTTGGTCCTTCACGACTCCCTGGCTGGGGTCCGAGAGATGGTGCAACACAGTGGCTAGAGACGTTATCAGATATGGCTCAGAATAGAAGCCAGTGGCGATCCTGCTGTAACCTTCTTTTACTTTCTTCATAAAAAAATGGTTGTATCTTCCTTAACTGAAAGATTTCTTCTGATTGTACCTCTTTGTCATTACTCTCTTTTTCTTTTGCGTTCCTTAGTTTTTTTTTCTTTCTACTTCTCTTCGAATTCCCATTGTTTTGTGTGGCGCATATATATTGGCGCTCTCTTGTACCAATATTTATGTGTTCAAATAAATAAATAATAAATAATGCGTTATTTACATTATGTATCGTTTTTACGCCCCATAATAATATTAATAAATCTGAATCAAATAATATTGGTACATTGCATAGGTTATATTACTATTTTTATTTATTTATGTGAACACAAATATTTGCCTGGGTGCTCAAACTGAAGCAGGTAGTTTTCTTAGGAAGTCACACTCTGAGCCTTCGACCTAAAGATCTGATCCACAAGACAGTGGAGCATCGTAAGGAGATTCAGTCCCATGGTAGCCGGTGACCAACGATTGATTCATGCGCCATTTGTTCCTTCAGGATACTGGAGCCCATGTACACCATTTGTTTGGAATGGGGGTTTTCCAACTCCCCTAGGTGGACTCTCCATGTACACCAACCCGGTTAAAGCTCCGGACATTCGCTCTGCGTCCTCTCAATTTCGTAAACAACACCGCCACGAGAAGGCGGTGAATAGGACTTCCCTGGCAGAGGCTATATACGTGTGGACATGTGAGAACATTCTGAGAGAGAGAGAGCCAACTCTTCCCACTCTCGGCCATACCGGGGCATTTTGGGGAAGTTTATATTACTATCAACATCTGGATGATGACCGATTGCGTAACAATGTTGACTTAAATCAATCCTGATAGAGTAATACATGGTCACCCAAACAAGAGTATCTGTAACGATGTTCGAATTTACATTCATTCTTGCCCAAAATTCAAATATTCTAATTGAAAGATCTTCACTTTGTAAATTGTTAAATGATAATTAAAATTATTTTATTCTTAAATGATTATCAACCTGTAAATAAGGTACTTTATAATCATTAATCAGTTAGTTATTGCATATAACACCTTGAAAGAAAGAAACTTCGGTGATTCACATTAAATGATCACATTTTTTTCGACCAAACATTTAAATAAAAGTAACATTTCTAGTAGGATTCGTGTGTTACGTATGATACACAATTATTATTATTATTATTATTATTATTATTATTATTATTATTATTATTATTATTATTATTATTATTATTATTTATAAATGGCATATAAATAAGAAAACTCGTGATTTCTAATAAAACTTTCACTCACCTATGTAATTATTGCCTTGATTTATTAAATCCAGTAGTATAAACAAATCTCCTCGACAAACAGATATCAATGTGTGATACTTTTTTCTTCTCTGCGTTGCCAAAGACATCGCTATTATTATTATTATTATTCTATGATTATTGTTATTACTATTATCTTTCCATAAGAATGTCAAAGTTTTTTTTACTATTACTCCTAGTTATGTATAAAGTATTTATTATTCGGCAGTACGTGGACTTTGCATCTTCATAACGTGTGTACATTTGCTGGTTGCTATTTTGACATGGTGATCGGGCTTGTCTATCGTGATGATTCAAACGAGCTATATTGGCTGGAAAACATGTTTCTTTATGTTCTACCATGTCAGGTAGGGCAGTTGGCGGACGACGAGACGTTAAGCAGTAACTTAAGGTCCGAGGATGAGGCTATACTGCTGACTGTACAGGAGTTTGACAGTAGTAAGGTGTTTCTCCCAGACAACCAGCATCTACTTATCTTGAAATTATCATTAGTCCTGATAGTCTGGTGTCTGACGAAGTCTCGGCGCAGATTCAAAAGGTCTGATTGGCTTTTGCCAATTTACGTCACTTGTGTTGTAGGCGGGATATACCTTTTCTAACCAAAGGGCGAGTTTACTGCGTGGCAGTTTGCTCCGTTCTACTTCATGGATGTGAAACATGACCATTCTGAGGGAAACCTCTCACTCCTATTACATTCACGTGCAAGTGAAAGTACGACTTTACCCTCGAACCTTAAGTTTACTGCTTTTAGTCTTACTTCTCCGCAACAGACCTACTCAGTATAGTAATACCTAAATGGAACAAGTATCTCTTTCATTGGAACTCAGCTGAATCATCGTAATGTTCGGGCTAGACCACCATGCCAAAGTAGCAGGTACAGTCGTTTTATATAGTTTTTAAGGTGAAATTGTCGGGGAAAAAACATCTTTCCAACTAGTCATTCTCTGCTAACAAAAAGAAAATTTAAACATATTTTCAGAATGGTTATCATAAATGATTTCTTTTATTAACATTAATCTTAGTAACTATGTTGTGATTGTCATTGTTGTGTTTCTTTTGTTTTCATTATTATTATTTAAATTATTTAGTCACCAGATTTATGTGTAGCTTTAGTTGGTGGAATGGATTCAGGCAAATCAACTTTAATTAGTGTATTAACCGATGGTGAATTGGATAATGCTCGTGGTAAAGCACGTTTAAATCTATTTCGTCATTTACATGAAGTACAATCTGGTCGGACAAGTAGTTTAAGTCGTGAATTATTAGGTTTTGATGCAAATGGTAATGTTACTAATTATAAATATGCTGATGGTAGAGTTTATCGACGTTCAACCGAAGAAGTAAGTTGATTATTAATAGTTGTAATAATGTAATTAAACATCAAAATATTTTGTAATTTCATCATTGTTTCTTCTTTTTTTTTGTTGTTGTTGTTGATTGGTTGATTTATCCTATCAACTAATCAGAATACACACCCACGATATACTTTTTGATTAGTCTCTAACCACATGATTATTTGGAATTTCATAGAGAAAACTATGCAACACTTAGAAATAATTTCATCAGTTATTTCGTTCAATTTTAATTAGTTTTCTCAAAGTTAACCGATGTAAACATTGTGAAAATTTTGTGCAAATAAACCTTCCATAAATATATACTACTCAAATGTCACTTTATAAGTGGAGTTTGTTGAGATATCAGGCTCAGTTCATTGCAACCTGTTGTTTAAGTTTAGTTTTGTTCATTTATGGCTGTCTATTCTTACTATTTCTGTTTTTATCCTGTCATAGATATCCAGCTACAAATAATAGGCCACAGATTAGCATTCTTCAACCCACTATGTCCTCAGCCTTCGTCTTTAGTTCTATCTAATTGTTCTTCATTCTTCTCATGTCTGTCTCCATTTCTTGGCGTAATGTGTTCTTTGATATTCCTCTCCTCCTTTAGCCTTGAGGATTCCAAGTGAGGGCGTACCTTGTGACGCAATTGAGTGCTTTCCTCAATGTGTGTCCTATCCAATTCCAGAGCTTATTCCTGATTTCTTCCTTCGTTGAGATCTGGTTTGCTCTCTCCCACAGTAGGTTGTTGCTGATAGTATCTGGCGAACAGATCTGATGTATTTTGCGTAAACAACTGTTAATAAACACTTGTGATTTCTGGATGATGACTTTCGTAGTTTTCAAGGTTTCCGTCCCATACAGTAGAAGTGTTTTGACATTTGTATTGAAAATTCTGAGTTAGTTGTTGGTTGAAAGTTGTTTTGAGTTCCAGGTGTTCTTCAGTTGTAAATATGCTGCTCTTGCCTTGCCGATTCGAGCCTTCACATCTGCATCAGATCCACCGTGTTCAACAATGGTGCCGCTCAGATATGTAAAGGTTTTTACATCTTCCAAATCTTCTCTGTCAAATGTGATTCCATTCGTGTATGTTGTGTTGTATCGGAGAATCTTGCTTTTCCCTTTGTATAATTATGATCAATTTTGGTTTTATTAGCGTTATTGTATGAAGTTAGATTTTTGTATCTAGAGTGCTTGATGCGCCAGGACGATCAAACATAGGGCAAATGATAAGTGAAAGACACTGGAAGGCACGGTATTGGTCAAGATTTGGCTTCATTTTCGGAGGGAATAGACGTGTGCTAGTGATTGAAAATATGTCATTATTTTATGAGGGATATGTAGTTTCGTTTTCAATTGAGTTGTTCACACACTGTCGATTCAGTCGGTCAATAAACGCTCGCTCACTCTTGTTTCTTCACTCAAGTTGCTGGTTTGGATACCCATATAATAAGCATGTAAATCAGCATCAAACTTGGACATCTGTATAACATAACTCTGTCCAACTTTATTTTTCGTCAATTCGTTTACCAGTTATAGCTTTGTGTAATAAGCTTCGAGCCACACTTTGAGCGTGAGGACCAATGAAAGTACTTGGCTACCTAAACCGAGATAAGTGGGATGGGGTTCGAGCCTTAGTGGCTAAATCCCAAACATTTCGAACACTGACCCATTACTGTTGAAATCTTGATTCGACTCGTGAACATTCTGCGGGTAAAGTAAACATAATAACCACTACACTATCAAACCCTTGGTGATAAATAACTTTGAATGCTACTTGCGATGATAAAAAGAGGAGAGGAGGCTACATAGTTTGAGTTGGCTATATATGTTGAATATTGAAACTGTCAATTATTTCTCATTCAAGTAAACAAAACACAAACTTTCCATCTCTTTTATTTTTTGTTTTCTTTTTTAAGGTTGTTCGAATGTCATCCAATTTATTAACTTTACTTGATTTAGCTGGACATTCAAAATATCAACGTACAACATTAGCTGGTATTTCTTGTAATCAACCAATAATGGGCATTTTAGTAATATCTGCTACAATTGGTTTAAGTAGTATAGGATTAGATCATATACAATTAATACGTTCATTAAATTTACCAATGATCATTGTATTAACAAAAATTGATCAATTATCTCATGGAATTGAACAAATCAAACGTATTAACATAATTTATCGTCAATTAATATATCAATTTAAACAAATTGATAATGCATGGTCATACGGTGTACCATCATCACTAATATCACAAACGAATACAGACTATTCATTTTTAAATGATTGGAAATTGAATTCAGCTAGGTAATTCAATTGTAATATGTGCATTTTTTAAAAAAAGTTTGCGTGTTTTTTTTGTTGGTGTTGTTGTTAAAATGTTCCTTTGTACTTTAAACTGTAGTGTCAAAAAAAGTATCTATAAAGTACATTTTTTTCGTTAGAAAAACCATAAAAAATTTTACAGCAACAATAGCCATCATAAGCAAAGATGGATAGTGGCTAGCAGTAGAATCCAGGACTCGCGTTTCGTCCTATTTGGGACAAGTCAGCTGGATGTACCTGCATCTCAGAGTTGATGTTCACTCTGGGACTCGAACTCAGTACCGTTCGCTTCCACTGCTAGCCACTATCCATCTTCGCTTATAATGCTTATAAATTAAGGCAATATCGAGGTATGCGCACAGTATGCACATATGCCAATAAGAGACTGGTCAATTTCAGTCTTAAAACATCAATGGGAAGATTCAAGTAAAACAATAACAACTGAATTAAACAATAACCATCGTTTAAAGAGGGGATTGTAAATATTATTGAATTTGTAAGTAGTTTTACATTATGGACTGTATTTATTATGATAATCATCGAAGAATCTTATACTAGAATGAAACAACTGTCTAGTACTTCATGGGTTCAAATCCTGCGAGCGGGACCGTGGATACGCATTACTGAGGAGTCCCACAATAGGACGAAACGGCCATCCAGTGCTTCCAGGTTTCCAATGGTGGTCTGACATCAATCAGTTTTTGATCTTAACCAATGAATTTCAATAGTTGTCTCGCTCAAAATCAATTTATGATGTAAAACTACAATGTAAAGTGGCTAACTAGATCACAAGTTTACATCTCTTCCTCTCTTTCCATTTAAATTCAACTCAAACTATCATCAAACGTTGTACGTAACATTTCTTGTTTCAAGGCAATTACACAAACTCCATAATCCATTACTTAGTTACATTAACTTAACCTTTAAAAAAAATCTTAGCAATTCACGTTTTCGTACCTAGTAAATTAATATGTCCTTAAGTAAGATTAAAACAACTGTTCAATGTTTCATAGTTTTTAGTAATTTTCTAATTAATATATCAGCTCCTGATGATGAAAATTACTACAAACTAAACAATCTGTACAGTCTCTTTTGTTTACATGATAATTGTTTACTCACTTGTAGGTTGCTAGTATGTGATCATATATGTCTTCATAGTATTGCTCGCGTATGTCAGGACTATTCAATGACTGATGCTGAAACTAGACTCGGTGTTCTTAGCAAAAATAACAAGTCGGTTAATGAAGTAATGAATCTTTATTGATTGAAGTGATTAGGATATAGATTATGTAATTCATCCGCTACCTATCTCAATCCTCGATGTTGACTTTTTTAGGAATCATTCAGTCATATGTAACATAAAACCTGACACATATATATATATATATATATATATATATATATATATATATATATATATATATATATATATGCGTTGGCTCAAGTTGTCACATTGTTGGAAGTAATAGCAATATCAGGAGTAGTAGAAAATATTAGGCATAGGCAATATGATCCAAGAAGAAAGAATAAGTTGACTGGATAAAAAAGCTTAACATAATTTTTCGAATCAAGATCTAAGAGAAGACAGAAAGTGAATGCATCTGCTCCAGCCATTGATTACAATAATGGTGTAGAATTAGATTAGAATAAAGCTAAGAGTGAATAAATTAAGGTATAACATCAATACATGAATTCATTGACTATTGGACAGTAGGTGCACACTACTTGGTCGTGGTCATTCCATAAATCCGCTCTTTCTTCTCAATCCATATTCTCTATCTTTAGTTGTTTTTTTACTTTCACAAATACAACAACAGACAGCTATGTAGAATAATCGTTCATTCATTAAATATATACATCTTCATATTTCTTTTTCTTTGACCCTTCTTTCTCTCATTATTATAATTTTGACTTTATCCAAATAAACAAAAGCTGATTGTCACATGTATCAAAGAAAAGATCATTTGTTGTTGTTGTTTTCTTCTTCAAAATGACGTGATCTATCAAACGGAATATTTGATCTCGTTTCCTTTATATTCAAAGAAACTTATTGAAATGTGAATAAATTCTCTCTCTGTTTCTTTCTCATTATATAAATCATTTGTTTATGATGGTACATCAGTCAAATCACTAATATATATTTACATCTATATAAAAGAGTGTTTCGTGTATGTCTTACTCTAATTGCTTACTACTATTTATAGTGTTGAATAACAAAATGGTTTAATTAAGCAATGATGGATAGTGGCTAGCAGTGGAATCCAGGACTCGCGTTTCGTCCTATTTGGGACAAGTCAGCTGGATGTACCTGCATCTCAGAGTTGATGTTCACTCTGGGACTCCAACTCGGCACCATTTGCTTCAAACGCCATCGCGTTATCCACTTAGCTACTGAGTCCTGATAGCCAACTTGCATACGCACAGTATGCACATATGCCAATAACAGACTGATCAATTGCAGTCTTAAACATCAATGGTTAGATACAAGCCAAACAATACCAAGTGAATTCAAAATGGTTTAAGTTGTATTGAAAAGCTAAAAAGAATCAAATAAAGAAACGATGTGAATTCATGAAGCGATTAATTGTTAAACTGAACCATCTCGATAGATGTATTATAGTCTTTCAAATGTAGATTTACACAATGATCTCGTAATCAATAGTTGATGAGAGACATTCGATGAGAATGACCCGAAATTAACTGGTGCATCATAGTAGTTGCATGTAATGTAATATTGGAATGATTGTTTGTATTAACAAAATTATGATCTTCTGATATTTCATTGCATAGAATGTTGAATTTTGAATGTTCGGCTGCTTAGTGTAGGTTGATTTCACGTGGGAGAAATAGTCAGAAGTAGCGTTATTTGTTCTCTAAATAAGTGATTTACACCATATCACGAAACGTCAGAAATTCACCTTTATTACTCATTTAAATATTTACAAATATATTATTTTCATTGTTTAAATCGTCAACTAATCTTAGATAGATCACCATTGAAAACATGAAAGCACTACACGACCTTTTCGTCCAAATATGAGACTCCTCAGTAGTGTACACGCACGGTCCTGTACTCTGGAATGCGACTCAAGATCTTCGGTCTCACTCGCAAACATAACCTCTAAACGTCTGTGGTATAGTTAGGTGTTCATATGCAAGACCGAAGGTGTTGAGTTCGATTGCAGAGTACAGGGCCATGGTTATACATTGTTGAAGAGTTCCATATTTAGACGAAACATCCAACGGTGGTCTAACATCAATCGGCTCATGATGTCAATCAAAAACTTAGTAATCTTCACAACCCTTATACTGGTAATAAAAATGTATTAATATCATTTTTATTATATTCTTTCATTGTTAAATTTTCTTTCCTTGAAATTTTTATCTTTAATAGAGGGGATTTCAATGATGATTATTTTATGCCACCATTTTTTCCTGTTTCATCTGTCACTGGTCAAGGTATTGATAACTTAATGCATTTTTTAAGTCGTCTAAGTTGTTTAAATCAATCACCAATGCCAACGTTATCCATGTCACCATCATCAACGACAACAATCCATCCATTTGAATCTTCTGATCATCGAAATCCAGATCATCATCATCAACAACAACAACAACAATCTTTAGAATTCAATAAATTTTCCAATGAAACTCATATTCAATTCATATTTAATAAAATAAATGAACAAATGAAAATTATTAAAACTTATCGTGATTTTAATGGTACATTATTTTGGATTAATCAAGTATTTACACAAATACCAGGGGTTTCTAATCCAGTTATAGTTGGACGTGTACAACTTGGTCAATTATTAAATAATCAAATATTATGGCTTGGACCAGATCAAGTAAATTTTTTTATTCATTATTATTCATAATTATTGAATGAGATACAACATTTTACTTTAGAGATTAGTCTATGTTATTCTTCAGATTGATTATAAAGATTAAAGTAGTTGAATGGTTCTTGGAAGCCTCATTAGTTCTGGTGGCCACCTATAGCCTAGACAAGATATTTGTCTATTAATCAAGGGATAAGTATACTACTCAACAGTTTTTCATGTTCTGCTCTATGCTTGTGAAGTATGATCTTTAAAAATAGAGGATATCCGTAAATTTAGCAGTATTTGATAACAGGATACCTTTAAATCGTCAATCGTGTATATTAGGACTACGCATTGATTGGTACTGAAATTAAATTCAAGGTAACAAATAAGACTGTCAAATTGGTTGATAAAATAATACTGTGAGTTTTAATCGACTGATGAAACTGGAGAATGTGTTACTTATGTCCGATCACTGCCCATCTCGACAGGCGATATTGACTGGAGTATCTGTAGGTTGGAAGAAAGCTAAAGAAGTCAAAACTAAAGTGTATCATCAGTCTATGAAATCATTGGACGTCGGTGTTATAACTTGTGCCCTGTATCCCTATTAATGTATAACGTGATGATACCGCCAATTAGAGAACAGTGAATTGTCGACAGGATCAATGACTTATGAAACCTGTACGAGCAGTGTAGAGTCCTTAGCGATCCTGCTTCCCGCCTGTTAAGTTCAGAACACCAATCTCAGCCTCTGTGATATGAACCATTTATTTCAAACGCACTGGGTTCATATACCAACCAGACAGATCACATCGCACCATAAAATAGAAACTGACATTTGTACAAGATTTAGCCCAAAGTGGCTGTGATTGTGGGAGATATTAATTGATAGACTGGGCATAACTCTAGAATGGTAAATGGTGTAATAATAGTCCATAAGTCAAAATAAAGCTTATGATAAGAGGAACACGAATATGCATAGTTTAGTTACTTAACAATTATACGATAAAAATATACGTATAGTATTACTCTAGAAATAGATTTCAACAGTTACCATTCATTATTCTCATCGGGATATAACAGTCAGTCTGAGCCATGTTAGTTTAATGCCAACTCAATAATTGCCACCCATAGTTGGATACGTTGGTTGAGATGACTCAGATTCATTCACTGTTTGTCTTCCTTTATGTCCAGAATTCCAAAACTGTTTTATTTTTTCTTCTCGAATGATATCTTCTACACTTAATCACTTTTGTGATCACTGACACTATTTCTCTAGTACTCATCTTAATAACTTCATCTCTCTTTGTTGATTTAGTGCGTTAACTTGAACCGATTCACATATGTACCAGGTTTTACGTTGCTTATGACTGACGAACAAGGCTCTTTTACTTTATCTTCTTGACGTAAAATTGTCCCCTTCTGTTTCTTTTTTTTTGTAGTTTGGTGATTTCTATCCAGTTCAAATTGTTAGTTTAATGCATAATCGTCAAGTACATGATATTGTATACGCTGGACAGTCAGCATCAATGGAGGTATATTTTTTACCAAAATCATGGAATAGTATGAATGATAAACAACGTCAAAACATCTTACATAGTATATCATCACCTACTTCACTGTCATTAACATCATCTTACAGAACAATGAATGATCATAAAAAGTCATTTTCATTATTCGGTAATAATAATGACAATATTTGTAATGATGATGATGATAACTGTACTGGGAATGAAGAGAATATTCCGCATAATAATAAGAAGAAGAATAATGTTAACAGTCTATCGTCATCACCGTCGGATATTTATCAATTTTATTCACCAATAAAAATACGTCGTGGAATGATTCTTCTCACTTATCCAATGTTATTAACTGCATATTCATTGTTTAAAACATCATCACCGGGATTATTACCATGTACCATCGATTCTTCTCCGCTATCATCATCACCATCTGAATTTATTTGGAATGAACAATTAAAATCTAAACATTGTATTAATTTCACCGTAGTATGGACAGTTAAATTGAAACTAATTCGTCGTCTACCTATAGTATCTTTTAAATTAGGCAATCCACCGGTAATTTTAACGCCAATTCCATCAATTGGACAACGTGTAAGTATTTATGCTGGATGTGTTTGTCAAACTGGTGTTGTACTAGAAACGATAAATCAATGTAAACATGAACAAGAAATGCAACAGAACAACTTGAAAGATTATATGGTGAATAATGAGGTTTGTAAATGATTATTCCGATTGATAAATCATTTCTTTTTTTGTTCAAGATAGATAACAGAGAACTTTAACTGGCTGATACTTATCTATTTACTTACGTCTGTTACCCTTCGTAGCGGAGCATAGGTCGCCCACCAGGATTCCCTATCGAACTCTGTCCTGGTTGATAGGCGGATGCTTAAAATATTGAGTTCCACATAGGCTAACAGACGCAACACTTTACTTACTTACGCCTGTTACTCCTCGTCGAGGAGCATATGCTGCTGACCAGCATTCTTCATCCAACCCTGTCCTGGGCAATCCTTTCCAGCTCCTTTCAGTTGTTATTCATCCTTTTCATATCTGCTCCTATTTCCCAACGTGATGTGTTCTTTGGCCTTCCTCATTTCCGTTTCCCTTCAGGATTCCAAGTTAGGGCTTGCCTCGTGATGCAGTTTTGTGATTTCCGTAATGTATGTCCTATCCATTTCTATCATCTTTTCCTAATTTCTTCTTCAACTAGAAGCTGGTTTGTTCTCTCCCACAGTAGGCAAAGACGTAACATCATTAGATTATAAAATCAATGACCATTGAACTCATCTGTATTAGTAAATATATACTATCTGCTTGGAAGGAGTTTGCACCATCAGTGGTTGTTTAGACGTTGGATGACATAATCCAGAATCAGTAGCAGTGACACAGTAGTTATCACTCTTTATCTTCCTCTGCATATTGAGTTTTGTTAATCCTCTATACACATCTTCTTTTCGATCTGTATCCTTCAGTGTTCATTCTTTTTATTATAGTTGATTATGATATTATTTCGACTACCTTGGTACTGATTGATCACTGAGTAGTGACCAATTTCATGTATGTTAACTTCGTAGTGCTGATTGAATTTTACCGATCGTGTTGCAATGTGGTCACTAGTCTAAGTAACTCGAGATCGCGCGCGCTATGCTGAGATGTAAGATTGTGTTTTGAGGTAGTGGACAGAAAACCCTGGACCTAAGTTTTGTGCTATTTGAAGCTCGGCAACAATGTGTACCTGTAATCTTGAGGGAACTGATGTTCCTTGGCAGATCCGATCCTATGTCACCCACCTTTGTTATCAGTGAGCTATTCATACCGCAAGTGACTTCCGGTGAAATTAAAATGCAAATAAAACCCTAGATACAGGGTTTCATATCCAACCGCTAACTTTGCTACTCACACTGTTAACTTCGTCTCATCGCGCTAATGTGTAATATGGTATTTTGAGTTCATGTGAAATCTATACCATGTTGATTATTGTTTTGGAAATATACTACGATACACGATACAATGCATGTTTCCTTAATAAAACCATAAGTAGTACATCAATCGATAGATAAAGTTCAGTAATACGTTGTGGCCAATGGATAACTCTTCATGAGACAATTATTCACACAAACCTTTTTGATAAACTGAATTCCAAAAGATAATATTCTTGGTCAACAAACAAAGATTTCTTTATTCACTCACTGCACAACAAAAAACGTGATTAATAATAAATATATATTTGTTTTATTTTATTTTATTTTATTTGAACACATATATATTGGTACAGAAGTGCGCCAAATATATATGCACCACACAATTTCAGTTCATTAATTGCATGTGGGCTGCGATACTGTCCGGGTGCCCAGACCGAAGCAGGTGGTTATCTTAGGGGGCCACACCCCGAGCCTTTGACCTAAAGGTCTAACCCACAAGGCAGTGGAGCATCGTAAGGAGATGCAGTCCCATGGTAGCCGGTGACCGAAAATTGGTTCATGCGCCATTTGTTCCCTCAGGATACTGGTGCCCATGTGCACCACAGATTTGGAATCCGGTTAAAGCGCCGGACATTCGCTTTTCGTCCTCTCATTTTCGTGAACAACACCCCTGCCACGAGAAGGTAGTGAGCAGGACTTCCTTAACAGTGGTTGTATGCACGTGACCATGTGAAAGAATTTCGAGAGAGAGAGAGAGAGAAGGAGAGCCGACTCTCCCCACCCTCGGCCATACCAGGGCATTTGGGAGCAATGTAAGTCATTTATTTGCTCTGAAGAAGTGGTTCACGCTAAGTCACGAAATGTCAGAAATACAATTTTGCTACTCGTTGGTATATATATATATATATCATTAACATTCTACCCAATGCTCAATTTATTTGGAACTATCAAGTCCAACCTTGGCATTACTACCTACAAAACAAACGTGATTATATGTTATTTAATAAAACATACAATTGAATGAGCTTTGTCATGGGATCCACTTTCCCGGTGGAATTATCGTCTAACTATCAGGCATAATTCCTGCCAATAATTTCAACTTAATAAATGTGTTGCAGAAGGGAAGAAAATGATATCATAATTAATCTATAACAGTAGCTTTGCCTTCTTATTTTATATAACAGCTGATACTACTTGTGATATACTTCTACTACTACTACCAATACTCTTACGCCTACCTATATAACCCCAATCATATGATTGTAACAGATGACGGAGAAATATGCTGTTGTTGTTGTTGTTCTTATAGACACATCTAAACTTATTATGCAAATTAACTTTTATACTGAAATAGAAACACTCCATTCTTTATGTCAGTTAGTCAAGTTGATCTCATGTGTTTTTTAAAGGTATAAGGATATAGTTGCCACTTTTCGGTTGCTCACACCATGAAAGAGTAATTCTTCTTGATAAACGTGAAAACGAACTTTGGTTTGGAGTGATCTCCACGACCTGATATACGGATCACAGTGTTCAAGGGATAACTGTCTCAGTCCGACTTTATTTCGAGTAGTTTTAATGTGTTGTCAACTCTTACCTCACGATACAGAAACCTATGGAGCAAAACGAGGTGCACTATGTTTGGAGTCGACCTTTTTGAATAACTTTCTTCTGTTGTGCTCAGACAGCGTCTCCAGAGATATCGGTTGTCTGAAATAAACTCCTTACTATCCCCTCACCCTTGCACAATTGGCAGTGCTACTTCACCCTCAGACCCTAAGTTTACTAATTTTAGTCCTACTGCTCTCCAATTGACCTGGTTGGCATAATCGGATATTAAAAAAAACGAGTGTTCTAGATAATATGTCTCGATTTTATCGTCAGAATATTCAACCCTGACCATCACGCCATGTTGTAACAGCCATGGCCAGGTCATATATATATTTCTTGTGTAACAACTAGTTGTCTATTTATGAAATTACTCCTAATTTCTAGAAACACTACTTTTGTGATTATGAGTGATTTTTGACTGAAAAAGAGGGGGACTGTAATTCTTTTGAGAAATGAACTAACTGATTATTTGTTGTTGTTGTTGTTTTTCATTTTATTTACTGTTATATTCAAGTAGCGTACTCAATGCATAGATCACATATTGCTAACTTTCTTAACCTTCGTATTTCATGTGTTACCCGTTAAATAGGAGTTCTTTTAATTTTTAAGACTAAATATTTGAAAGTAGAATAAAATTCTTGGATTAAGTTGGTTGTCTCAAACGTGTTCAATTTGTTGCGTAAATAGGATTTACGTTCCCAATTGCAGTTTTAAACCACAATGGGAAAATACAAGCAAAACAATACTAAGTGAATTTAAATTCACCCCATTGCACAAGCAAGTGGCTATCAGGACTCAGTAACTAAGTGGATAACGCGATGGCGTTTGGAGCAAATGGTACTGGGTTTGAGTCCCAGAGTGAACATCAACTCTGAAACGCGAGCACATCCAGGTGACCAGTCCCAAATAGGACGAAACGTGCGTCCTGGATTCCACTATCCATCTTTGCTTTAAAAAAAAATATTGTGAATTCAGGTAATATCGAGGCGCACGCACAGTATGCACATATGCCAATAACAAACTGAAATACATTTTATGACTGATCATCGTTATATACTACTTATGTGCATATAAGTAGCTCACACCACAGTATGTCACCCACCTACATTTTAACTAAATCGGTTATTACTCATCATTTGGATTGTTCAATTGTTAAGTATTCTATGAAAAATAAATATTTAGTTTACCATTTGTTTGTTTGTTTTTCAGAATCATTTAGATGATACAACGTACATCTTACTACGCTTTACACGTCATCCAGAATTAATTGAAATTGGTCGACAATTTATATTAACATGGAATGGAAATTTAAAAACTGTCGGTTATGCTGTTGAATTAATTGACGCATTAAAACATCATTACAATCTTTCCTTGAATACTCTTTCTGATAATAATAATAATAATAATAATAATAATAATAATAATAATAATAATAATAATAATAATAATAATACAACTACTACTAGTACTAGTACTACCAATGTTCAAGATCCTATTTGTTGGAATAATAATATTCAACAAAATTCTGTATCATTTCAAGAGAATGATCATTATGATTGGTCTAGTTTACGACAGTCATTTATGAATCGAACAATCTCAGTGAATAATTATCCATTTGGATCGATAGATAATTTACATACATCATCTAATGTATTATTATTATCTTCATCATTACCATCATCAAATATGGAATTTTATGGTCATTTAAGAAATAATGAACCATGTAAGAGGTCAGCAACAACAACAACATCAAACTCTTTAATTCCTGTAAATCATTTAACAAGTTTATCAGAATTAGTACAAAATCATGATATTGATATTGATGATAACATTAATAATAATAATAATTCAACAGATATTGATCATTCTACACAGTCTATAATTGATATCAATAATGTTAAACAGTTTTCTGAATCATCAATATCCTCATCGGGAGGAGGCGTCACAACATTCACACCATCATCATCATCATCATCATCTAAGAATAATAAACGACGTCATAGACGAAAACAGAAACGTTAATTCTTTCTAGATCCTCTTTAATTTATCTCTGTTTTCTTTTAACAATTTCATGATTGATTGATTTATTCATAGCTGGTTAATTAATCAGTTAGTTAGTTAGTTAGTTCAGTTTACTATGATTATGCTGTTGTTTAGCCTACTATAATAATAATCATAATTTCTTATGAATATTGAGTAAGGCAATTATTGGTGTTAAAATTGATCATGTTGTACATGTAAATGGGTTATTTGCACATTATACATAAAATAGTTGATCGTTCATTATTATCATTAACCTTCAGTTAATTTATGTATACATATTTGCTTTTTTCCTAGTAATATGTGAATGTAATTCAATCCTTATGTCCCTTTGTGTGTGTGTGTGTGTTTGTAACTAGAATGGTGGTGGTGTATCATCGTAACGAGCTGTCGACCAATTTATACATCATTACATATGATGTAATTTGGTGTGTGTTTTCTTTTTTTTCAATTTACTCTTACACTTAATAGTGATTACATATTCAAAATAAAATTGATCTATACTTACTATTACTACTACTAGTTACTAGGGTTGGGGGTCTCTTTCCCATTTTCTGTTACAATCAACGAATAGAATTATTCGGATAAACCTTCAATTATGATGATATAAGTAGTGTTGTTGGTTTTTTTTCTTCATTTCTCATCTGACTTTATCGCAGGAATACTGGATGATGTATATGTATGTATGTATGTATGTGTGCGTGTGTGTTTTTCTTCTTACAATCAAACAAAATGAGTCGAATTCACTAAAGAAAATAGTTAATGACTTAACTAGTCAGTATATTTAGACTTACTTACTTACCTACTTATTCCTGTTGCCCCCAAATGGTGCATAGGCCCATCGACCAGTATATTTCAACTATTCCCTATCAAGTAGTTGTGCACTTATTTATTATTGTAAATTATTAGATTCTTTCTTTCTTTTCTCAAGTCTACCATAACTTTCATTGTAAAATTTTATTATTTAATATCACATTGTTATCCTTATTATTATGAGTGAAATTTTGTTTATTTATTTATTTTTTGTTTTATTTATAGAAATATATAAATAAACAAAGAAATTCACTTATTCATTTGATGGGTTGACTTCATGTGTTGTTATGATTACTTCATTGATATTTATGTACGAATGTATTAATTTACAAGAAGAAAAAATTGTGGGGGGAGGCGGTTGTTTGTTGATCTGTCTGTTTGTTTTCTCTTGTTCCTTAACTGATCCTGTTGTTATATTTATCGATCAATCTATAATGACTATTATCATGTTTATCTAGTTGTTGTTGCTTGTATCTGCTACGATTACCGAGGGGTAAGCCTGAGGTTAGATGCAGGGTATTAGGGAATGATGGTAAATCAGTTGATGAGGTTGTGAATCTTCATCGACTAAGATGGCTGAGGCACATGTTACCTATACATGAACACCGATTACCACGAGGCGCAAAGCTGACTAGTGTTGGGGATGGTTGGAAGAAAGTTAGGGATGGCCAAGATAAAACGTGGAACCAGTCCTTAAAGTTACTAACTTTTAGTCTGAGCCATGTTGCGAGATGCAGACTACTTGGTTGGGATCCGCGTGACTATCGCAACCAATGGTTGGATACTGTGGGTGACATGGCTCAGAATAGATCACAATGGCGTCGGTGTATACACTCTCTGTCTTCCCTTAAACTAAGAGATTAAAATCGCTTCATATCTTTCTTTCTACGAACTAAATCTTTCTTTCTGTACTATATCCTTATATGCAATATTTCTTTTACCTATTACCACAACTGAATTAACTACTTCTATGAATTCGGTGTTCATCTTGTTGTTCTAATGCGATATGGCAACTTGGACTGATGTATATATGTGCCTGGTCCTACGTTGTTTAACGATCCCCGTCATATTAGTTGTTGTTTACTGCTCATTCTGACATTCCTAAGGTTTAAGTATAGTATATGAATTCCCAGTAGTGATTCTAGAAATAACCACCACGAATTTCCGTTTGTTGTTGATTAACCAGCTACAAAACGATTATTGTAGATTAGTAGTTTTTTGGAAAAATAATGTTATAAAGGTTACACACGTTTTACGTAATTATTTTTTATAGGTCCCTCTGTCGCTTTGTTCAAACGACAAAATTATGTAAATGCAGCTATATGGCTGCAATACATCCATCTTTTTGAACATGTTTAAAAATGCAAGTTGTTTCGATTCGCATGGTTAGACTTGATATACATAAAAATAATCTGAGCGACCAATTTTCTTCAGAATTTTAAATTTTTTAAATATTATACAGAGGTGGTGTTACTCGTTCCAAGTTATGCAATAAAAGTTATTCATTTTTGGATTTCGCCTAAGTTTTCTCGGTGTCGATTGCCACTTCCTTGATCAAACGGTTCTCGATATGTTTGGACTTAGAGTTTTGACTACTGAAATGTATTAAAGTAGTTAACTTTATATTTCTAAAATGTGGTGACTACGAGATTCTTTTGTTTAAGGTCAATCATGTACTTGCAAATGTTCGTTATATTTGCGTGTAGTTTGTGCAATTCCATAACTTGATATTATTTCTGTAATCCAGTTGCTGAAATTATAAATGATGCCAATGTTCATGTAATGCTTCAATATCTGCTGTTAGAAATCCTAGAAGAGAGCTAAACATGGAAATATTTTTTCTAACTTTAAAGAAATTGAAATAGTCGTTAGTGTTTGTAGTTAGTTTAAAAAAGATTTCATCCTCAATTAAGTGGGTTGTTTCCATAAGGTTTTATCAAGAACACAATATATGAGTGTGTACTATCTGGCTGAAATCAGTCGTCAAGAAGTACTGAACCTATATGTCGTATTAGAAGGTACTTGTCACCGAAGAGTATCTACAGTTTAAGAGGCATTTAGTTGCTCATGCAAATTTTACAAACCTCGAAATATAACTTATCCGAGTTTTGCTAACTCCATCAAAAGGAAATTACGTCTTTTAATTAATTGGGTTACAATTAAGTCACAATGCATGCTATTAATTAAAGGGAAAATATACTTCTGTATTATGTAAGTAATGTCCGCGGGATCATGGATGTGTACTGCTGAGGAGCCTTATACTAGGACGAAACAACTGTCCAGTGCTTCCAGGTTTTCAATGGTGGTCTAACCTTGATCGATTCATGAATTCGATCAAAAATGATATCTATTCTATGGACATGAATATAAAACCTAAACCGCCTAAAGCACAAATAACATCGGTTGAAAAGAAAACACTTTATCCGAAAATTGATTTTAGGGGTGACGAAGTTACAGATTTCCTAAAGAGAAGAATTTTCAATCCTCTAAAAAGGACGTTCTTCGCAACACCTTTTCCAACCGATCAATAATCTTAAGGATAAATTATCTTATCTGACCAACTCTATGTTTATTTATCAATTATCTGCTGATATGAAGCCAGGTCGTTAGATGCGTACTTTATTTAAAAGAATTCAAGAACATAGCCTAGCGTGGCTTAAAAGAAGCGGAAACGGCTCACTAATCGAATATCTTGTGAACACAAGTCATTCAATCAAAGAGGATTCTACGTTCAAAGTCATTCACAAGGTCAGTAGAATGCTTCCAAAGGTAGTTATATTGTACCTTCTTAAAATTGCCGAAGTAATAACTATGCATCTGGATAAATCAAAATTCCATCCAAAAGAAATAAGTACAACCTCTTCTTCTATCATGACATTAATCTCTCGTAATTTTCTTTCCTCTTCATAATTTTCTACCTTCATAGCCATCTGCTTCCCTTCTATCTTCTCTATAGACCTTTTACCTTCAACTGGTTTTTTCTTCTGTTTCTCTAGTCTTCCTGACTATAGTTCATTTCAATTTCAACATTTTATCTTACCATTTTGAGTTTTCTTTTCCCAATCATAATTACCTTATCTATCTTTATGATGTATATTCAATCCCTCAATAATGAAACTATCATTAGTTTCCCTGATAAAAATAACATTGGAATACCTTTGCTCGTTCTACTCCACTGTTAACATGTTTATCAAAATCCCTATTATCACTAATATTGTAATTATTATCATCGTCATGAATAAGTAATTATATTTACAATTGTACAGTGTTGAAAATGTATTCACCGAAAAGAGAACTCTTCACTGAATCAATTTTTTGCTTATTTTATATCACATTAGGTATATTCCGTTTGCGAATCGTTTCATCAATGAACTTGTAGTGGAACCTTATAGAAACAAAAAAAAGCAATGATCTGATATATTCCATTTGATATTGATACTGTAGTGAACGAGAACACAAGTGGGGACAATCGAATGTAATTGAATACAAAATTACAGAATCACTGAGTAAAATCTGAGATCTATACAGTACATAGTTCATTTGTAAAATGTCAATCAATTGTCTCAGACTTCACTATTCCTTCATTTTCACATCAATCATTCTCTGTTCTCGTTCTCTTTTCTTTCATCTTCTTAATCTTCTGCCACTAGGTATTTCACTTTCGATTGCTCATACATACTACTTATATCTGTCGATATCAGTAGCACACACCACAATAGATATTAATTAACATTGATAAATATCCGGTCATCATTATAGTAGTAGAAAAAGGTAGAATTCACAAGTGATAATTATAGTAAGAATAATGAGAATCTGTGAGTAAAGCAGATTGATTAGGATTGGGTAACCACCCCCTCCCTGGCTAAATCTAGACGGCAACTTGAACACGAGAGAAAAGGTGTAAAATACGAAAAGAACACTTTACTGCATGGTTAGTTTATGTACAAAACATCTAGGGTATTTATAGCATTTTAGATGGCTTTTGGCTTCTGGAAAGTTTTGGAACCCTTCTAAACAATTTACTTACTTGGTTTGAATATTTTTTTCTGGTTAGCTAGTTTTCTACAGGATGGGGTCGCTAACGTCATGCCCAACCCTCCTTCTTTACCCGGGCCTTGGACCGACATTAACCCCCACAGGGGCTCCAGGCGAAGTTTCTACACATTATGGCAAGATAGACAATTATGAAATCAGAAATGTAACATGTGACTTTGTAGATATTTATCGTAAACTTCTATTAAGTGCTGATAGGGTGAGATTTTTTCTCCGAGTTTTCAGGGCCCCTTTATGCTTTTTTTCAAGGAGTTTTCTGGATCTCCCCAACAGTACATAAATATTAAGATCTGCTTTTTGTGTTACTCTGTATTCTTGAATTTTACGTATAAAATCACACGAATTTTTAAGTTTCAAAGTACAGAATAATAAACGATACTTCTCTGGTATTCTTGATGCTCTGGCCAGTAAGTTGGAAACAATTGAGAATTGTTTGTATGTTATCAAACGTTTAGCATGTACAATTACTGTATTAAAGGATTCAGAAGTTTACCAAGCTTTCTTACTGAATACAAGTGTCAGCTTGATAAAAACCTATGGCAACAAGCTTTGCAAGTGAGAAGTCGTTACCAGTGGAGTTCAACCAGGTCTGTTGTGAGATAGGAACTCACTGAAGACAATGGTGTACGGTGGTGCAACTTCGTGGATTGGTTGAAGTTAGACATTAACACTGTTGGATGACGGCCGGCTCAGTGGTCTAGTTGGTTAAGCGCCTGGCGCGAGACTGATAGGTCCTGGGTTCGAGTCCCGCGGGGTCGTGGGTGCGCACTACCGAGAAGTCCCATAGTAGGACGGGACGGCCGTCCAGTGCTTCCAGGTTTTCCATGGTGATCTAGCTTCAATTGACTCATGATTTCAACAAGTGAAATTTCTAAAATCTCGACAAAACCCATTCTGATAATTTGCAAAATAAGTAAGTTTCAAAAAGAAACATCCTCAGAAAACCTTGTGAAAGCTATTTTTGAGTCCTACCTGTATACCTTTGTCGACGAATGCACAGAAGTCCGTAAATTTAACTGTAGGCAATAACAAAAGTTTAATATTCTGCTTTTAATTTCTTCAATAAGCATTAAATATTTTAGGCTGAAACCTGTTTAACTGTAGATAATCTGATTTCCAATTTCTTCAGTCAGTTTTAAAGAATTTTTGACCAAGCACTTCATCCATGTGGTAAGATTTGAAAAAAAAACACATCTTAGTTTAAGAATTGGATTAGCGCTGTAGTTAGTTTAAATCCGGGAATTTGCAAACCCTCATTCCAAACCAATGGTTCACATGGGCTTCAGGATCCTAAGGGAACAAATAGCGTATGAACCAATCATTGGTCACCGGCTACCATAGTGTTACATCTCCTGACGTTTCTCTACTGCTTTGTGGATCAGACCTTTAGATCA